TATTGATGTTCTGGTAGGCAAAAGGGGATTATGTAAAGGTATGGTATTATCAATAGGCAAAGTGGGTGATGACTCAATAGGTTCAATATTAGCCACAAGAGGTATAGGAAATGAATCATCAGATAATAATGAAAATGACTGCAGAGATGAGATAGTATTTGATGAAGGAGTTTTTGTAATTGAAGCAAAAGGATAGACATGCTCATAAAAAATTACATTTCTAGAGACATACAACTCATTGGAGTTTAAATCATAGAGAATATAACCTTTGACACCCTCCTTATAACCTAGAAAAACAGATTTTCTTGCTCTAGGCTGAAATTTTGTTCTATTAGCTAAAATGGTTGATGCAAAAGAAAGACAACCAAAAACTTTGAGGTGATAAAGAGTAGGTAGTTTGCTAAAAAGGATCTGATAAGGTGATTTGTGTTTTAAAAGTGATGAAAATATTCTATTTATCAAATGGACAGCATGAGTGACATAACAATTCCAAAGATTAGGTGGCAAAGAGGCTTGGAAATATAAGGATCTTGCAACATTTAGAATATGTTGGTGTTTCCTCTCAACAACACCATTTTGTTGAGGGGTTTCAATGCAAGTCATTTGATGTAAAATTATTTTGGAAAGATAAAAATCATGCATAAGGAACTCACCTCAATTACCACTTCTTATACACTTGAGTTTGGTATTAAATTGTGTTTCTATGTAAGCAATGAATTAGGTTAAATGTAGTCTAGTTTCAGATTTTGCTTTCATGAGAATTACCCAGTAAACCTAGAAAAATCATCAACAAGTGTAAGGAAAAATCTATGGCCATGTATGGAGGGAACTGAATAAGGATTCCATATGTCAACATGCAACAAGTCAAAAATTTTATTTGAATGTGAATCACTTTGACAGTAAGGAAATTTCTTTTGTCTAGAGAGATGACAAATATAACAAGGAGGTATACTAGAAAATGGAATAAAAGGAAATTGTTGGGTGACTACTTTAAACCTAGAAGTTGATATATGATCCAATCTTAAAAACCAAAGAATGGACTGATTTTATGTAGTCATAGTTGCACTTGAACTTGATTTTGCACATTGTATCACATACAACTCATTATAAAGTTCAGCTGTACCAATCATTCTTTTGGTAGATGTCTGTACAATGGAACACATTTTGTTATTGACAATAAGATGACACTGTTGAGAACTAAGTAATTTAATGACAGAAATCAAATTAACAGTAAAGGTAGGTACAAAGAGAACATGACTAAGTGTCAAAGTACAACTTAATGAGACACTTCATGCCATAGTTGCAGTAATTAGGGTACCATTAGGCAAAGCTATGGAAATGGAATCAATTTTGTGATAAGAGATATAATTATCAAGATGAAATATAATATGGTTTGTGGCACCTGTATCAAGAATCCATTGTGATTGCAACTTACCTCCCATGTCATGTTGTGATGAGTTGACTTGAGAAATTGCAGTATTAGCATTATGAGAATATGACATTGATCGCTATGATACCATCTAAGAAACCAGAGAAGAAGATAATGGATATAAATTGTATTTGATTTTCTACATTATCATAAGTGAGTCAAGCTCAAATAAATAGTTATAGAGAATCATCCCTAATAAAACATAATCGTAGCTACCAATTAGCTATTAAGGCATAATCATAATTAAGGCATAATCATAAATATCAATAAATTAGCTATTAAAACAGAATCATAGCTATCATTAAAGCTCCCCATATTTTAGCTAATTTACAACTCATACATTAACTATTTTGATATCTTGTATTATTGGACCCTTAAAACTGTTTTCAAAGAAGTAAAGATTCAGGTTAATCGATTAACTTATTCACCATTCTCTAGGTGATTGTAAGCCCTTTCTAACCAACATCAACATTCAGCTTGATTGAAATTCACTTTATTTTGTAATGTTAATCTTGTTATGAGAGGATATGCATGGTGTAGTTTCTGTTGAAGCACATCTTGTAATTTGGACTTTAGTGCTTGAATTTATACTTTGCTCACTTCTCTAGTTGAGTTATCACATAAGAGGTGATGATAGAGTTAGAATCGACATAAATGATGTCATCCAAAGAAGTGGGACTATATAAATATGCAATAGCATATAAAAAACTTTTCATGTTTTTGCATAGCCTAACCTCTGGAGACTATTGTTAAGAGTGGTTATAATGAAGCACTTGCAATACCCATTTGTCTCAGTCCCACATTGTAGAGTGTTAGTGGAGTAGTGCAAGAATAAGTTATAAAAGTGATAGGAGTGACATAGAGAAACATACTTACCTAGATGGGGTCAATGAGTGATCAAGAAGGCCCATTGCCTAGGGTAGTGACCTCCATTGCACTTAGGAGGGGTGCTCTCCTAAGGTCCACCCAAGTGGTGGAGCCTACGTCATAATTTGTAGCAGTGGGGGTTTGCGTTCGCGCAACCCTTCTTAACTGTAGTTTAAACTATTTTTGAATTATGGGTTGGTCCAAAATAAGTTATATATATTTGTTTAGTAATTATGATGCAGAAATGATTTGACATTTTCAATTGTAATAATTTGTATGAATTTTATAAAAGAGAAATCAATGTGAAACTTTTGCACAAGTATAATTTAGTGTATTTAATTTTGTAGAAATAAAGTTATCTCTATACTCCATAATGTTCTATTGTAGTTATAGGAGATTATTACTTTTTTGTTAACTTTCAAAGATGTGCAAGTTAATAGGTATATTTTTTCAACGTTAGTGGTATCTAGTTCTTTGACAATAGTTACATGTTGACACATTCTGGAAATGTGAGGCCGGAAGAATCCCAATTGAAGGGCATTGATTGTTTTTAAAGCACTAGCATGCCCTCCATAGGATGTTTAATGACAACAACTCAAGATATCTCGAATTTCATCATCTATAACACATGTACTATACAATTTAGCTCATTTACACAATTGTTAACCTTTCACACTTGTTAGGCATGTATTTTCAAAAATAATGGATAAAGTTTATAAGGATTTTCAGTGGATAAAAACTCTTGGGTAGGATTGGAATTACGAGAAATGATATTTGGAATCAAGTTATAATATGAAAGTATGTTTGGGATATAGCATCAAAGACTAATTCCCCTTGGGTTAGATGGATACATGCCATCTATTTGAAGGAGAGAAACTTCTAGTTTTATATAGCCCCACAATACTCAAGTTGGTATTGAAAAATGCTTGTAAGTTGTACTCTCTATGCTAATGGAACTTTCACAATAAAATAAACTTAGATCACTACTTCTAGCATACAGAATTAGTTTGCATTAAATGATTATAAAAATTGTAAAATAAAGCAGAAAACTCTACATGCTCACTTGATTGCGCCTATATACATTATTTGGGTGAAAGGAATATGGGGATATTAAGAAAATAAAGTAGGAATCCGATGAACATCTTTGAAGAGATCAAACACCATTAGTTCCTCTTTGTCTACATGGAAATTAAGAATCTATAAGAGGAGGAATAAATATGAATATTTGGTTAATAAAACGTGATGATATGAAGATACCCCATATGTAAAAGGGGTTGTTGTGCTTCTCTAATGTAAAAGATTTATATAAAAGAAACAAAAGTTAAAACATTCTTATATGATTTTCCAAATGTAAAACATGATGATATGAACATTATGTTTCTTGATATATGCCACTAAGAAATGTAATTGCAAATATTTCCTCTTTTGTAATATTTTTATTTCAGTTTTTTAGATTCTAACGGAGATAAAAGAAGATCTTAGAAAGGGTGTTTAGCATTTCAACAATCAACATCCTTCAAATTCTCTTTATTTTGTCATGTTAATCTTTTTATGACAGGATATGTGGATTATAAACAATAAAACTTAGTTTAGAGATGATTCCTTTCAAATTAGATGTAGTCATGTTTCTTGAGACCAACTTATTAGAGATAAAATGAGTAATGCATGATGTAGGTTTTGTTAAAGCATATTATTTAATGTGGACTTTAGTGGTAGAATTAATTTCCTCACTTCTTAGGTTGAGTTATAACTTAAGAGGTTATGATGGAGTTTGAATCAACTATAATGTTTTCATCCAAGGAAGTGGGATGAAATATATCTGCAGTAGTAGATCAAAAGCTTCATGTTTTTGCGTGACCTAACCTCTAGAGACTATTGTCAAGAACGGTTGTAGTAAAGCACTTGCAACACCCATTTCTCATAGTCCCACATTGTAGAGTGTTAGTGGAGTAGTGCACAAATAGGATATAAAAGTGATGGGAGTGACATAGAGAAACATACTTACCTGGACGGGGTCAATGAGTGATCAAGAAGGCTCATGGCCTAGGGAAGTGACCTCCATTGCACTTAGGAGGGGTGCTCTCCTAAGGTCTACCCAAGTGGTGGAGCCTACGTCATAATTTGTGGCAGTGGGGGTTTGCGTTCGCGCAACCCCTCTCAACTGTAGTTTAAACTATTGAAGAATCATGGGATGGTCCTAAATAAGTTATAAAATATGTTTAGTAATTATGATGTAGAAGTGATTAGACATTTTAAATTGTGATAATTTGTATGAATTTTGTAGAAGAGAAATCAATCCGAAATCTTCACACAAGTATAATGTAGCGTATTTAATTTTATAGAAATAAATTTATCTCTGTACTTCGTAATGTTCTATTCTAGTTATAGGAGATTATTAATTTTTTGATAACTTTCAAAGATGTTTCCAAGTTAAAAGATATATATTTTTCAACTGTTAGTGATATTTCTAGTTCATTGACATTAGTTATATGCTAACACATTCTCAAAATGTTAGGCTCAAATAATCCCAATTGAAGGGCATTGGTTGTTTTTAAAAGCAATAGCATGCCCTCTAGAGACGATTGTCCAGAATGGTTGCAGTGAAGCACTTACAACACCCAACTCTCATAGTCCCACATTGTTGAGTGTTAGTGGAATAATGCAATGATAGGTTATAAAAGTGAAGTGGGTGACATAGAGAAACATAGTTACCTGAACGAGATTAATGGGTGTTCAAGAAGGCTCATGGTCGAGGGAAGTGACCTCCATTGCACTTAGGAGAGTGTTCTCCTAAGGTCTATCCAAGTGGTGGAGCTTATGTCATAATTTGTGGTTATAGGGGTCTGCGTTTGCACGACCTCTCTCAATTCTAGTTTAAACTATCTATGAATTATGGTTCGCTCATAAATTTTAATTCTAGTTTAAACTTTTTGAAATATGGGTTGGTCCCAAATAAGTTATATAAATTTTTTTAGTAATTATGAAGCATAAGTAATTTGACATTTTCAATTGTAATAATTTGTAGGAATTTTGTAAAAGAGAAATTAATGCTAAACCTTTACATAAGTATAATGTAGTGTATTTAATTTTGTTGAAATAAAGTTATCTCTATACTCACTAATGTTCTATTGTAGTTATATAGTTATAGGAGATTTTTTTTTTAACTTTCAAAGATGTTTGCAAGTTAATAGATATATTTTTCAACCGTCGGTGATATTTCTAGTTCTTTGACATTAGTTACATGTTAACACATTCTGAAAATGTGAGGCAGAAGGAATCATAATTGAAGAGTAATGATTGTTTTTAAAGCTTATTCTGTCGTGCATAAGATTTTCAATGAAAACAACTCAAGATATCTCAGATTTCATCCTCTAGAACACATGTCCTATGGAATTTAGCTCATTAACAAAATTACTAACCTTTCACACTTCTTATGCATGTATTTTTATCTTCCTCAGTCTATTGTTAAATGAGTGGATAAAGTTTATAAGGATTTTCAGTGGATAAAAACTCTTGGATAGGATTGGAATTAGGAGAAATGATATTTGGAATCAAGTTACAATATGAAATTATGTTTGGGACATAGCATCAAAGACTAATTCCCTTTGGGTTAGATGGATAAATGCCATCTAATTGAAGGAGAGAAACTTCTAGTTTTATATAGCCCCACAATACTCAAGTTGGTATTAAAAAATGCTTCTAACGATGATAGTTGTACTCTCTCTGCTAATAGAACTTTCACAATCAAATCAACTTAGATCACTACTTCTAGCATACGGAATAAGTTTGCTTTAAATTATTATAAAAATTGTAAAATAAAGCAGAAAACTCTACATGCTTGCTTGATTGCACCTATATATACATTATTTGGGTGGAAAGGAATATGGGGATATTAAGAAAATAAAGTAAGAATCCGATGTACATCTTTGAAGGATCAAACATGTTTTCCTAATTAGAATAAATTGTGTGCTCCTAAAAAGCTTAGACATAAGTAGACTACCTTCACACAAATCATAAATGAGAAGTTAGATACAAAAAAACCACGAGTAAGAAGTACGATTGAGGAACCACATCGTTGGACGATTGAAATTTATAGAAAAATGAGAGAATGTATATAATTTATATTCTCTGGATTTAAATATAACCAAATTTGAAATCGTCATCTGAAATCTAAATATATTTTAACTAATTTTATCCTATGGAGTATTGTCACTCCTAAAATAACATGTAATTGTTCTTTATAAGCGAGTCACCTATAAATTTTATACACTAAACCTCTTTTGATAAAACTATTAGCTTAAAGATTGTAATTAGTGTCGAACAACATAATATCACTCAAACATAATTAGATACAACTCTTTATACTTATTTTCGACACTATGTTCATTGTTTGATTTATTAGATTAGTAAAATGGTGTCAACATGCATCTCTAGTTATTGTGTTGTGTCTTAAGCTAATGATTTGTGCATAAATTTGATTAGTTTTAATTTTCTCTCTCTCGTGTGGATAATCTACGGGTAGTGTTTTGAATCTTCTTGAGGCAAAAAGAATGTCAACTAACGAAGTAGAAATGGTAAGAAGAGACCATCTCTTTTCTTATTTTCACCTAGAAGCTATGCCTAAAGGAAATTGTGTGTGTTGGGTTTATTCAAGTGTGAAATCCATATTGGATACGATGGGAGGAATAAAAAAGTTTATAAGTGCAAAAGACCTCTAGAATGCTAGAACTAATGCCTTAAGGTTTTGGTTCAAGACATGGTGTCTCACTTGTGTCTCTTCACTCTTCCCATACCCTGGTAATAATGGAACTCCCCGGTGGTTGGAGGCTCCCCAGTCGCAGTCTGGTCCAACAAGTGGTATCAGAGCCGATGGTTCGGTAGGGACATGGTGGACTTGAGGGGGAGCAGACCGGAAAGTTTGTGGTACCCACACTTGATGGGAAGATGTTGGGTTTATTCAAGTTTGAATGAAGACGAGTCCCACATTGTGTTAAAGTGGATGAGTTGAAGAGCATATAAGTGGATGGACCCATAGACCTAATGCCTTAAGATTTTGGGTCAAGATGTAGTGTCAAGCCTACTTATATGCTTCTTTTACTTAGCCCATGGAAGAATGATATAACTCATGAATGAAGATTTCCGAACAAGTGGTATCAGAGCCGATGGTTTGATGAGAACAGAGTATTAAGCGACAAGTGGTCGGTAGATCCGTGAAGGATCCTTGTGTCGAAAGTCTTCCTGATGAGAGTTCAAGGCGAAATATTTCGTTGATGAAAAAACAAGCCAACAGCGGTGCAAGTAGATAGAGTGTTGAGCTATAGTGTATCCAATACTCGAATGAGAGTAACTCGCACTCGATGGGGAGATTGTTGGGTTTATTCAAGTGTGAAGTCCCACATTGGATATGAGGGGAGGAGTAAAAGAGTTTATAACTATAAAAGGCCCATGGAACTAACATCTTAAGGTTTTGGTTTAAGATGTGGTGTCTCACTTGTAGCTCTCCACTCTTCCCATACCCCAGTAACAATGGAACTCACCGATCGTAGTCTGATCCAACAAGTGGTAACATAGCCGATGGTTCGGCTGGGCATGGTGGACTTGAGGGGGAGCGGACCGGAAAGTGTGTGGTACCCACATTTGAGGGGGAGATTGTTGATTTTATTCAAGTGTGAAGTCCCATATTGAGGGGATGAGTGAAAGAGTTTATAAATGGAAGCGACTCATAGAACTAATGCCTAAAGGTTTTGGTTCAAGACGTTGTGTCTCACTTGTGTCTCTTCATTCTTCTCATACCCCGGTAACAATGGAACTCCTCGATGGTTGGAGACTCCCCGATCGCAGTCTAGTCCAACAGTGTAGACTATAAAATTTTCAAATCAATGATACCACTATAATTTCGCATCGTCTAATTTAAGCGGTTGATATTAAAAGGTGTATTAATGTTTGGAAAAGGGAAATAAAAGAAAATGGTAGGGTGTGTTAATGTTTGGAAAAGGGAAACAAAAGAAAATGGTTTTTAAAAAGAGGATGATCCATTGACTCCAAGAGTACTCCACATCTTAGCCATCAATTCTAGGGAAATCCAATGGTTTGAATTAGTGGGTAAATCTAAACCGTTATATTTACCTAGAATTAATGGCTAAGATGTGGAGTAAGTTTAAAAAACTTACTCTTGAAATAAGTGGATCCTCACCCTTTTAAAAATGTGTATCATGAACACCATTAGTTCCTTTTTGTCTATCTATCAAAGGAGGAAGAAATATGAATAATAGGTTAGTAAAATGTGATGATATGAAGATACCCCATATGTGAAAGGGTTGAGCTTATCTAATGTGAAAGATTTACGTAAAAGAAACAAAAACTAAAACATTCTCATATGATTTCCAAAATGTAAAACATGATGATATGAAGATTATTTTTCTTCATATATGTTACTAAGAAATGTAATTGCAAACATTTCCTCTTTGTAATCTTTTTTAATTCTGTTTTTTAGATACCAACATATATAAAAGAAGATCTTAGTAAGGATGTTTAACATTTCAACAATAAGCTTGATTCAAATTCACTTTATTTTGTCATGTTAATGTTTTTATGACAACATATGTCGATTATAAACAATAAAAATTAGTTCAGAGAAGATTCCTTTTCAAATTAGATGTAGTCATGTTTCTTGAGACCAACTTACTAGAGATAACATGAGTAAAGCATGGCATAGGTACTTCATGGTGTAGGTTATGTTGAAGCACATCAATTAATTTAGACTTTAGTGCTAGAATCACTTTCCACACTTCTCAGGTTGAGTTATCACTTAAGAGGTTATGATGGAGTTGAAATCGACTATGATGCTTATGTCCAAAGAAGTGGGATGATATTTATATATCAAAAATAGTAGATCAAAAGCTTCATGTTTTTGTGTTATATGATGAAGAATATGTTGTGTGTAGTTTGTTTATGATAATGGTGTGTTATGGATGTTTGATTTGTTATGAACATACATGGGTATGTTTGTAACAAGGATTGTGAGATGTGTTGTTTAATGGCAAAAAGTAGAAATGGATATGAATATGTTTATCAAAATGAGTATGTTGTGAGTGGTTGATTGTTATAAACATGTATGAGTGTGTTGTAACAATGAATGTGTGATGAGTTGTGAATGTGTTAAAATGGATATGAGTATGTTTATCAAAATGAGTATGTTGTGAGTGGTTGATTGTTATAAACATGTATGGGTGTGTTGTAACAATGAATGTGTGATCAGCTGTGAATGTTTTAAAATGGATAAAGGTATGTTTGTGACAATGAAGGTTGTATGTTATTTATGGTGATAAAATAATGAGATGCCTTGTGTTGATTGTGTATGACATGGATGTGAGTGTAATGTGGAAACTCGACCTGCCCGAGGTGGTATGAGGATTACTCGACCTGCCCGATGTGGTATAGGGATTATTTGTAAGGTGCAGAATTGTTGAACGAGATCAAGTGTAAATTACTACGGAATGTGAAGGATGTGAAAAGTCTATACTCAGAATGAAAATCATATGCATGCCATAGGATATATATTATGAGATATATATCCTATAGGGTGAATATGAATGATGAGAAATGAGTATATTTGGACGAATAAAATATTCACACTATAGCACATATATAGTATGGGATGTATGTGTATTATAGGGTGAATATGGATAATATGTGATAAATAAATATGCACACTATAGAACACATATAGTATGAGATGTATGTGTACTATATGGTGAATATGGATAATATGTGATAAATAAATATGCACACTATAGAACACATATAGTATGAGATGTATGTGTACTATAGGGTGAATATGGATAATATGTGATGAATAAGTATGCACACTATAGAACACTATAGTATGGGATATATGTGTACTATAGGGTGAATATGGATAATATGTGTTGATTGATATATGCTTATCATGATTGATGTTAGATGTGTGTGATTTTAATACTTTAATGTTATTACTTCATGTAAATCCACGCTACGGTTGCCGTAGTTGGTTCTTACTCCCTCTGTCTTTCCTTGTATGTGTTGTATATTTGGGTTCAGGTTGTGGAGGTAGCGCATTGGACGCTTGCGGAGAAGAGTACATGATAGAGTAGTGGATAATATGTAATTGATATGTTATATGATAAATATTTGTAATATGAAGAACATGTTAAAGTGAATTCATGTATAAACAACTTTCTTGTAAGTGTATAATGAAGTGGATCTAATGTTTGTATTCAAGGTACTTTTGAGAAAGTGTAATTGTATAAAGGATGTATTTGAACGAAAGTGTAATGACATGCTTTTGAAAAGAAAGGTGTTTGGAATATTTCCGTCTTGTAAATTTATAAACGTATTCACTAAAGTTTCCAAACTGTTCGAGTAATGTCTTTCAAAAGTAATCACTTCACTTTCACGAATAAGGATTTTAAAAGAGAATTTTCGAGTTATGAAAATCGGGTCCTTACAAATCACTTGCAACACCCATTTCTCATAGTCCCACATTGTAGATTGTTAGAGGAGTAGTGCAAGAATAGGTTATAAAAGTGATGGGAGTGGCATAGAAAAACATACTTACCTGGATGGGGTCAATGAGTGATCAAGAAGGCTCATGGCCTAGGGAAGTGACCTCCATTGCACTTAGGAGGGGTGCTCTTCTAAGGTCTACCCAAGTGGTGGAGCCTACGTCATAATTTGTGGCAGTGGGGGTTTGCGTTCGCGCAACCCCTCTCAATTTCTCAATTGTAGTCTAAACTATTTAAGAATCACGAGTTGGTCTTAAATAAGTTATGATGTAGAAGTGATTTTACATTTTAAATTGTGATAATTTGTATGAATTTTTTAGATGAGAAATCAATGCGAAACCTTTACACAAGTATAATGTAGTGTATCTAATTTTGTAGGAATAAAGTTATCTAATTTTTTGATAGCTTTCAAAGATTTTTTTTCAAGTTAAAAAATATATATTTCAACTGTTCGTGGTATTTCTAGTTCATTGACATTAGTTACAATATATTGCCTTCCATAGGCTGTTCAATGACAACATTTCATGATATCTCGAATTTCATCCTCTAAAACACACCTTCTATATAATTTGGCTCATTATTAACCTTTCACACTTATTAGACATGTATTTTCCTTCTTCCTCAATCCATCTTCCTCAATATATATGCCACTCCATGGGTAGGCGACATATTCCATTAGATGGCGATACCGAAATATACAACAAGATGATATGAAGATTACTTTTCTTGATATATATATGCCACTAAGAAATGTAATTGCAAACATTTCCATTGTAATCTTTTTTATTTTTGTTTTTTTATATTCTAACATATATATAAGAAGATCTTAGTAATGATGTTTAGCATTTCAACAATCGGCTTGATTCATATTCATTTTATTTTGTCATGTTAATGTTTTTATGACAACATATGTGGATTATTAAAAATAAAACTTTGTTTAGAGATGATTCCTTTTGAAATTAGATGTAGTCAACTTACTAGAGATAACATGAGTAATGCATGGTGTTGCTTATGTTTAAGCACATCATTTAATTTGGACTTTAGTGTTGGAATCACTTTCCCCACTTCTCAAGTTGAGTTATTACTTAAGAGGTTATAATGGAGTTGGAATCGAATATGATGCTTATCATTAACGTTTCACACTTATTATACATGTATTTTCCTTCTTCCTCAATATATATGCCACTCCATGGGTATGCGACATATTACATTAGATGGTGATACCGAAATATACAACATGATGATATGAAGATTAGTTTTCTTGATATATATATGTCACTAAGAAATGTAATTGCAAACATTTCCTTTGTAATCTTTTTTATTTCTGTTTTTTATATTCTAATAGATATATAAGAAGATCTTAGTAATGATGTTTAACATTTCAACAATCGGCATGAATCATATTCATTATATTTTGTCATGTTAATGTTTTTATGACAACATATGTGGATTATTAAAATAAAACTTTGTTTAGAGATAATTCCTTTTGAAATTAGATGTAGTCAACTTACTAGAGATAACATGAGTAATGCATGGTGTTACTTATGTTGAAGCACATCATTTAATTTGGACTTTAGTGTTGGAATCACTTCCCCCACTTCTCAAGTTGAGTTATTACTTAAGAGTTATGATGGAGTTGGAATCGAATATGATGCTTATTATTAACCTTTCACACTTATTAGACATGTATTTTCCTTCTTCCTCAATCCATCTTCCTCAATATATATGTCACTCCATGGGTAGGCGACATATACCATTAGATAGCGATACCGAAATATACAATATGATGATATGAAGATTAGTTTTCTTGATATATATATGCCACTAAGAAATGTAATTGCAAACATTTCCTTTGCAATCTTTTTTATTTCTGTTTTTTAAATTCTAACAGATATATAAGAAGATATTTGTAATGATGTTTAGCATTTCAACAATCGGCTTGATTCATATTCATTTTATTTTTTCATGTTAATATTTTTATGACAACATATGTGGATTATTAAAAATAAAACTTTGTTTAGAGATGATTCCTTTTGAAATTAGATGTAGTCAACTTACTAGAGATAACATGAGTAATGCATGGTGTTGCTTTTGTTGAAGCACATCATTTAATTTGGACTTTAGTGTTGGAATCACTTTCCCCACTTCTCAACTTGAGTTATTACTTAAGAGGTTATGATGGAGTTGGAATCGAATATGATGCTTATTATTAACTTTTCACACTTATTAGACATGTATTTTCCTTCTTCCTCAATCCATCTTCCTCAATATATATGCCACTTCATGGGTAGGCGACAAATTCCATTAGATGGCGATACCGAAATATATAACATGATGATATGAAGATTAGTTTTCTTGATATATATATATGCCACTAAGAAATGTAATTGCAAACATTTCATTTGTAATCTTTTTTATTTCTGTTTTTTATATTCTAACAGATATATAAGAAGATCTTAGTAATGATGTTTAACATTTCAACAATTGGCATGATTCATATTCATTTTATTTTGTCATGTTAATATTTTTATGACAACATATGTGGATTATTAAAAATAAAACTTTGTTTAGAGATGATTCCATTTGAAATTATTTGTAGTCAACTTACTAGAGATAACATGAGTAATGCATGGTATTGCTTATGTTGAAGCACATCATTTAATTTGGACTTTAGTGTTGGAATCACTTTCCCCACTTCTCAATTTGAGTTATTACTTAAGAGGTTATGATGGAGTTGGAATCGAATATGATGCTTACGTCCAAAGAAGTTGAGTTATCACTACAACCATTCTTGATGGAATTGGAAACGAATATGAATATATATATATAGTAGATAAAAAACTTCATGTTTTTGCGCGACCTAACCTCTGGAGACTATTGTAAAGAATGGTTGTAGTGAAGCACTTGCAACACCTATTTCTCATAGTCCCACATTGTAGAGTGTTAGAGGAGAAGTACAAGAATAGGTTATAAAAGTAATGGGGGTGACATAGAGAAACATACTTACCTGGACGGGGCCAATTGGCGATCAAGAAGGTCCATGGCCTAGGGAAGTGACCTCCATTGCACTTAGGAGGGGTGCTCTCCTAAGGTCTACCCAAGTGGTGGAGCCTACGTCATAATTTGTGGCAGTGGGGGTTTGCGTTCGCGCAACCCCTCTCAATTGTAGTCTAAACTATTTAAGAATCACGAGTTGGTCTTAAATAAGTTATGATGTAGAAGTGATTTTACATTTTAAATTGTGATAATTTGTATGAATTTTGTAGATGAGAAATCAATGTGAAACCTTTACACAAGTATAATGTAGTGTATCTAATTTTGTAGGAATAAAGTTATCTTTGTACTCCGTAATGTTCTATTCTCGTTATAGGAGATTATTTATTTTTTGATAGCTTTAAAGATTTTTTTTCCAAGTTAAAAGATATATATTTCAACCATTGGTGGTATTTCTAGTTCATTGACATTAGTTACAATATATTGCCTTCCATAGGCTGTTCAATGATAGCATTTCAAGATATCTCGAATTTCATCCTCTAAAACACACCTTATATATGATTTGGCTCGTTATTAACCTTTCACACTTATTAGACATGTATTTTCCTTCTTCCTCAATCCATCTTCCTCGATATATATGCCACTCCATGGGTAGCGACATATTCCATTAGATGGCGATACCGAAATATACAACATGATGATATGAAGATTACTTTTCCTTATATATATATGCCACTAAGAAATGTAATTGCAAACATTTCCTTTGTAATCTTTTTTATTTTAGTTTTTTTATATTCTAACAGCTATATAAGAAGATCTTAGTAATGATGTTTAGCATTTCAACAATCGGCTTGATTCATATTCATTTTATTTTGTCATGTTAATGTTTTTATGACAACATATGTGGATTATTAAAATTTAAACTTTGTTTAGAGATGATTCCTTTTGACATTAGATGTAGTCAACTTACTGGAGATAACATGAGTAATGCATGGTGTTGCTTATGTTGAAGAACATCATTTAGTCAATAGGCGATCAATAAGGTCCATGGCCTAGGGAAGTGACCTTCATTGCACTTAGGAAGGGTGCTCTCCCATGGTCTACCCAAGTGGTGGAGCCTACGTCATAATTTGTGGTAGTGGGGGTTTGCGTTCGCGCAACCCCTCTCAACTATAGTTTAAACTTTTTAAGAATCATGAGTTGGTCCTAAATAATTTATAAAATTTGTTTAGTAATTATGATGCAGAACTGATTTGACATTTTAATTTGTGATAATTTGTAGAAGAGAAATCAATGCGAAGCCTTTACATAAGTATAATGTAGTGTATTTAATTTTGTAGAATTTAATTTATCTATAATATTCTATTCTGGTTATAGGTGAATTTATATTCGGACTCAAGTTGCAATATGAATATATGTTTGGGATATAGCATCAAAGACTGATTCCCTTTGGGTTAGATGGATAAATGCCATGTACTTGAAGAAGTGAAACTTATGGTCTTATACAAACCCCACACCACTTCATGGGGATATTTAGAAGAAAAAGCAAGAATCCTAATGATGTCTTTCAAGAGATTTAAAAGTATCGGAACATTGATTAGAGAACACTCCATAAAATGTGGCTCTAAACAATGTTTGAATTTGTAATGCTGAATGTAGTGGTTGAATAATCATCTTACATAAACTGATCGTTTTAAAAAGGGCCACTTGGGAATAATTCTCAACCATAAAATTCCACATCGGGAAATTCATGGCATAAAATAGTCTTTATAAATGTCATACATTCATCTTAGTTTGCCGAGCAAGGTAACTATATCTAGTGATTTAATTGCGGACCACATCACCTGATATGGGCGCAATGTTGTCGTTGCCGAGACATCAATAACCACACCATATTGCAATTGCAGTGTGATTCCGAATCACAATGATGCGGTTGCATCAAACTGCAACATAACCACATCGAACCATATTTGGACCCGCATCAGATTACATCAAGTTGCATCGGATTTAAAACTATTATTTTAATCACAAAATAATTTACACCGCAACAGTCGCAATGACCTCAATCACAACAACCTCAACCACAATTTTAAATAGTGATGTCTCTAGCTTGTGACCCATGTGGGGGAATGAGGGTGAAGGAACTTGAGGGCAAAGTGTGAGACTTGTTAGTATAAACAAGGGGGACAAAAATCTAAACTCCTAGCCATTGTTTCCAAGAAATTGCTAAATTTAACAATAATGCTTTCATCTCATCCAATAGGCAGTCAATATTCTGATGGTAAATTCAACACAATAACAACTCAATCTATAAAAGAGCAATATGCAGCGGATAATAATTTCCCCTACTTGCAAGAACCTGTGAGGAGTGTGACACCCTGAATTTATATATCTTAAGTTGTAGTAACAATCCTGAAGAGTGGGACATACTGCCAGATTCTCGCTTGAGCGAGAGGGCCTCGACTAAGCGAGAGGGTCAGAGCTCCTCCCAAGATTTTATCTGGAAATCTCGCTTGAGCGAGAAAGGGCTCGCCTTGGCGAGAGATGGCTCACCTGGGTGAGTGGAATACTGGTATATACTGAAGGATTCTCGCCTGAGCGAGATTTGGCTCGCCTGGGCGAGGGAGAGGGGCGTGGGCACTAGAGGATCCTCGCTTGAGTGAGAATCCCTCGCTTGAGCGAGAGTGCCAGATCTGAGTTTTTCAAATGGGCGGGATTTTCTAGCTTGAGCGAGAAATGGCTCGCTTGAGTGAGAACCCGACGTTGGAACTTTAAAATAGAAACCCTCAAACACATTTAGGGATTAGAACTTGAGAGAAGAGAGAGAATGAGGTGATTTTGAGAGCAAGGACTCGTGAGAATCATCTAGAAGCTTGAGAAGAGGTAAATCTCTTGATTCTAACTCTCTTCCTCTCTTTCAAACTTGTTTTGGGTGTATGGGATCTGTTCTCCAAATGTGAGAAACCATGGAAACTCTTCCTTTTGAGTTGTGGTTCGTTTTATTTAGTTTATCTATTGTAAACTCTTGGTTTAGAGTTGGTATTCGAAGAATGGAAATAGTTTGTGGTTTGATTCATGAAAATTCAAAAACCCCAAAATGAAAATGTGGTTAAAGAGGAAAATGGACGAAATGGTAGATGTAGAAGATGTATATGTATGTTTTAATGTTGAAAACTTCTAATGAAATTGGTTTTGGAAACATTGAAAATGTATGAATCTTTTGTATGGTTAAAGATGTACTATGAGTCGTTTATATGTTGTTGAGAATAAATTATTGACTTTTGTTGTTGTTTAGTGGGAATGAGGAAAGATCCTAAAGTTGGAGGAGGTAGCGAAGGAACTCGCAAAGTTACCAAAAACTGAACCCAACACTCACCAAGGTAAGGAGAAGTGGTTAATTGTATATAATGATAGACAATGCGTGGATTTTCTGATTATATATGATTTGTGAATGACTTGCTCTACGTGGTAATGTTAATGACTTGCCCTACGTGGTAGTGTGAATGACTTGCCCTACTTGATATTGCAAATGACTTTCCCTACGTGGTAATGCGAATGACCTGCCCAACGTGATAATGTGAATGACTTGCCCTACGTGGTATTGTGAATGACTTTCTCTACGTGGTATTGAAATGAATGTCTTGCCCTACATGATATTGAATTGAATGTCTTGCCCTATGTGGTAATGTACCGGTAATGTAGCAATGATGAGTAAGGTAACAAGGTTTGATGATGAGGGATGCATAAATAAGAGTGGTGAACAAAGTGGTATGAGCTAGGAAATGTGATGTGCTGACTTTATGTTCAAATGTTAATTTGTTTACTTAACTCTCTTTAAAATGTGGATTATCGTATAAGGATATTTATCAAATTGATGATTTACTCCTTTGTATGTTTTGTGTATTTGTCATTGATAATCTCATTGCAGGTAAACAGGTAAATTGAGGGTGCTTGATTTGGAGCTTTAGGAGCTTTTAAATCTGGATTCCTTTATTTACACTTTTGTATCATAACTGACTATCTGCGGATTTGATTATTTGTAACTATGGTCATTATATTTTGAATACTTATAACTATGGGAAATGTTATTTTGGGTACCCATAACTATTGGATGTTGGAAGTACTGGGAGATATTAATATGAATTATGTTTTTCTGCCTAATGAATGTGTATATGAATATCGTACGCTAAGACTATCATGAATCTGAAAAGGTGATTAGAGTAAATTCACTGAGTCCATAATTATAAGTCATAAGTAAGAATACATATGTAAATGAGATAAAATAAGGAAAAAAATTCAATGGTACAATTTGGGTCCTTACAAGGAGCAATCAATAAATATGACTGCAACTAAAAATCACAAATACAAAGAGACACACGATTTTAACGTGGAAAAACCTTATCAATGTGAGAAGTAAACAACCACGGGAACAATCCAGTAATAGAGCTCCACTATAATCAAATCAGGTTACAAGAGAGTTTCAAGATGTAGCACAAATCGTGCTCAACAAGTGTACAAAGCAATAGAGCAATAAACTTGAAAAGGAGAACAATGTATAACCAAAAATCCTCTCTTCTCTTCTCTCTCACTTTTATCTTGCCTCTTTTTTTTTTGCCTCCTTACTTTTCTATTTTCTCTCTTACTAAAATTAGACCTCTCTCTTGAACAAAGTGAGACCAATGGACTTGCTCATATTGGGCATTTCTCCACATATGAATGAAGCCCAAAACCCCAACAAATCTCCCCCTCATAACTGTGTGGAGGTGACCGCCAAACCGCCTATCTCACAGCAAGTCTCAAACTTGCTAGGCAATGCCTTTGTCATCATATCAGCACCATTATCATATGTATGAACTTTGGACAACTCCAACAACCTAGCATCCAATGCATCACGTATCCAATGATACGTTACATCAATGTGCTTGGACCTAGAATGAAATGTTGAATTCTTACCGAGATGAATTGCACTCTGACTATCACAAAATAGCAAGTATTTGTCCTGCCCAAAACCAATCCTGCAAGAATTTCTCCACCCAAAGCAACTCCTTGCATGCTTCTGTAATGACAATGAACCCTGCCTTAGTAGTGGACAATGCAACACACCTCATCAATTTGGATTTCCATGACACAGCTCCCCCTACAAACTTAATCAAGTAGCCCGAAGTAGACTTTATGGAATCAATATCTCCAGCCATATCAGAATTAGTATAATCCACAGGAGTAGGTTTATCACCTCCAAAACAAAGCCTCAAACTAGCAGTACCACAAAGATACCTCAGAATCCATTTCACAACATTCCAATGCTCTCTACCTGGATTAGACAAAAATCTACTAACTGTACCAACAACATGCGCTGTATCTGGTCTTGTACACATCATTGCATACATAAAACTACCAACAGTAGATGCATAAGGAACCCGTTGCATATCTGATTTTTTCAGTTTCATTTGAAGGACTCTGACTAACACTCAATTTAAAATGAGTAGCAAGAGGAGTACTTACAGCCTTGGCCGTTTTCATCTGAAACCTCTGCAACACTCTTTTAACATTGTGCTCCTATGAAAGCCACAACTTCTTCTATTTCCTATCCTGCATGATTCTTATACCAAGAATCTGCTTAGCAGCTCCTAAGTCTTTCATGGCAAATGACTCGCCCAATTGCTTCTTCAACCTGTCAATCATGGAAATATACTTCCCAACAATAAGCATGTCATCAACATACAATAACAGGATAATGAAATTATCATTAGAAAGCTTCTTAATAAAGACACGGTGATCAGAAGTAGTCTTCTTGTAGCCTTGCTTACAAATAACAGACTCAAACTTCTTGTACCACTGCCGCGGAGCCTGCTTCAAACCATATAGACTCTTTCTCAGCCTACACACATTCTCTTCCTTGCCTTCAACTTGAAAGCCTTCAGGTTGTTTCATGTAAATCTCTTGCTTCAAATCACCATGAAGGAAAGCGGTTTTGACATCCATTTGATCTACCTCCAAATCAAGAGTAGAAGCCAAACTCAACACGGTTCTAATGGATGACATCTTCACCACATGAAAAAAAATCTCATTGAAATAAACACCCTTTTTTGTCTGAAACCTTTCACCACAATCTAGCTTTATACCTTGGAGATGTAGAATTGCTCTCTTGTTTCACCTTGTAAATCCAC